TATACTTCCAGACCAAATGCACAAAAGTAAAAAAAAAAAAAAAATTGTAATTACTAGTTTTTTTATAGCATTTATTTACTTTTGTATTTGCTCGCCGTCGTTTTGCCAATCTCAGCCTTTCCAGTTCGAAGGAACGCCTACCTGCTTGCACGTCTGCTCACTGCAGCACGTTTCTTTGGCGTTGGAAGCCGGTGAAACAGTAGTGAGTTTTAATATTGCGTATACGAGCGAACTCAAGCCCTGTGTGTTTGCGTTAGCTTTACGCGTTCCACACTGCCCGTGTGCGGAGCCCAAAATTGCGGTCTTGGATGGCGCATGGCGATGAGGCGCACGCACAACGTGGGGCCCGCAACTCTAACGCAAACGCACACCGCTTGCGTTTGCTTCTATGCGCAATACTAAAACTCTCCAGCAAGGCACAATCCCATACCGGCTGCAGCACTGCGTTGGGACAGTGAAGTGTGTTGTTTGCATCCGGAAACGACATTTCGCGAGCCATGATCGCGAGCAGTTCCGCCATGCCCGCTGAGCAGGAGAATCGGGGGACCCTCACTAGAGCGCTTCCCGTTTCCGCCGCGGGAGGGCGAGCGTCGAGCTGGAGACGCGAATATACACCTTTTATACTATGGGCTTCCATCCAGCGCACTGAGAGGACAGCGCGCTTCATGAGTACGCGGGGTGCTTTTTGTTTTCCGTTATAGCGTCTCAAAGAGTGGTGGTACCATGGTAACCTGCCCCTTTTTTCGGACCAACATCGGAAAGAGCCTCGTCGAGAAAACGTTTTCAGAAAATAGCAGCCGCTTGGGCCAATCCGCTCGAGACTCGGTTACGAAACCGCTTCCCTTTCATATTAGCGTTTAAGCCTTGCCAAGTCTTCCCCCGAAAATAAAGCGACTGGCGACTGGCGTTTTTGCTGCCACCAATTTTAGTCACTTGTAATACTTGTGGAAACGACAGGCGGAGATAAATATAGCCCGCCTTCTTCCTCAAGGTCGGTTCGGTGATGTCGAGGCCGCGATAAACTGCTGGTTGGCAACTTGAAAGCCACTGAAAAGCAGACTTGAACAATACTCATTAGAAGGAATCAAATTACTTGTAATCGATTTATTTTTGGAGTAATGTTTAATAATTTGAATACATTTATTAGGAAGTAGTCGAAAGAGTAATCTGATTACTTTTTTGAGGTATTAAGATTACTTAAAACCGCTGGTATTTTCCCCTCTTTTTTCTAATGGCGCTCCTACCAAGGAATCGTCGAACCAAATCTCGAACAGGTGGATGGTTCACTAAAATTGGTGGCTTAAAAAGATAAGTCATTTATGCCGTAGTTCGGTGATTCAAATCCAATAATAGAGAGTTTTAGGGAACCGTTTTTGTACATCCGTTACGGTATACGATGGGGCCCTCCGGTACGAACTGCGCATATGCGAGTCTTCTGCGGCAGCGCATGCGCAGTGCGTATCGTACAGTATCGGATGTGCAAAAATGGTTCCCTAAAAGTCCCTAATGAACAGTACAAAAGACCCGTTTTCAAACCGGTAGATAAATCTGCCGTTTTGAAAATCTGAAGTAACCCTATTGAAAATCGCTCTGAGGGGACTTCAGGAATTCTTTGAAGGGTGTGAAGGGGACTTCAGGAATTCTTGTGATGTTTGAAAGGTGAACCGATATTTCCTGGTGGGTTCGTTGGCCCCGTCAGAGGCTCTCCTGAAATGTCTGAAGTCCCCTTTACAATGCCTTGAAATGTCTGAAACCCTGTCAAGAACTTTTCTAATGGGGTCGGGAAAACCTTCAGGCTTCTTGAGATCTCTGTGGGGACACGGCCTAGGTGGAGAAAATACATGTCGCAGAATTAGAACATAGTAATGTTCACAAAGGGAAAACAAATAATAATATGGAGAATGTCGATCGTATGTCTGTACGGTCAGTTTTTTATTACTGCTCTTCTATCGAACACAACTGGGCTAAGTAACGGGTACTTTTTGAAGTAACTGCCAATTACTTTTCTTCTCGGGTACTCTAATTGAATACTTTTTTAACCAAGAGCAATTGTATTAAAATAACGAATTTTGAAGTTAACGGGTACACCTCGAATCACTTCCTGCCGCTTCACTGGCAACAACGAGCCGAAAGGAAGACGAGACAATAGAACATATGGTGTTAAGGTGCGACGAACACCGCAAAGCTCGAAGGAGCACTCAGCGGCGTTCAATTCGACATTCATGCTTTCGCATTCACAACTCATAAGAAGTGCTCAGGTGTCCTCAGAAGTTCGTTTTGTGTCCATTTATCTACAATTTTGCCCAAATTTAGTGGGCCCTTCATTATCGGCTATTTCAACCTCCGACTTCCGGCGTTAGGGAAGTGTTCGAGAGATGTAGTCGAAAGCAAAGAACTGTAACAAATGTGACCGCGGCGACTCGACATGAAGATCGATGTAGATATTTTCACCTTTTTAATTTTCATCTACGTAATATCCAGCACACTATTTAATTAAAATACGCAAATGCAGCGTTAATGTACACAAGCTCCAATCTTCGAAATGTAAGTGGAACGTGTTCTCTTCGAACGATTGGAACCTGTAAAGGTAACTTTTTCCAAGATTGACAAGGAACAAGGAAAGAACTTTCGTTGCTGTTTTGGAAGAACGTGTACAAAACTGCTATGGTCGCATACCGGCTTGCCTGCGTTTTCATGTTTTCTTTTATGATGATAGACTATCGCATTTTATTCGAAAATTTGTCGACCTTTTTATGAACAGACCTGTCTGTCTACTTTCGGCAATAACCTACGGGAACGAATCATCAAGACTTACGAAAAACAAAAACAGCGTTAAAAATAAAAATAAAAGTAAAAAAAAAGCTATCCACACAGAACGTATTTCTGTGTTCTGACGTTATCCGTGCCTTGTCATTCGTTGGGCGTCTTCCGTAGATCGCAATGTTTGGCTCATCTTGAGCGTTGCGGAGGAATACGCGCACAGGCATTGTTCAGAAAGAGGCCGACCTATTTTCGAAACAAAAATACGGTGCAGCCTCATCCGGATGTCGGCGTGGTCCTTTGAAGTGACCACGAAACCAATTCCTAATATGTGTTTTTATTTATTTATATTATTTATTGACACACCAACTCCTGGTGGAAATTTTTGTAGGGGTGGTAAAATAACAAATAAAGGAAAATAGCTTAAAAATAAAGGCCTGTTCACACATGCAGCGGAGCGCTACAAGCATAGCGCTGACCTCGCGCTAAGCGCGTGCTCACGGTAGCGTTCACCTGCTTTGTATCGCACCGTAAAAACTGTTGCTCATAACAGACGATATGTAGCCGTAGACACGTGAGTAGCGCTACATCAGCGCTTCGCTGCATGTGAGAACCGGCCTTAACGGTGCCAGCGGGTCTAAAACATACTATTTGTAAAAACAAAAGCTTGGGTAAAATTGTACTCTTATACGGTTTTAGAAAACACTGGTCGTATTAAGATGTGGACGCACAGATGTGCACTTCATAAAAGACGAACACATAAAAAGAACAGTGGCGAATAAAAACAAGGAAGTTAACTTGATAAAATCGTACCGTCAGTTATTGTAAGAATTCCATTTGGCGGCAGGGTGGCAAGGTGATTTAAATTGTGATTTAAATCAGACCAGTTTTCTGTTATTATTTAAATCAAATCTTTCCCGCAAAAAATAATTCAGAAAAAAAAGTTTTTATTTGCCGTATGTCTATATCATTTGATGCTTTCATATGCATTTGTTTTATACTGAAAAAAAAAATCATTAAGCAAGAAATATTTACCGTATATCAAGCTGAGCATTGCTCTTCTGAGCAAATCGCATCATTGAGCTTTTTTCTACCTTCCGATTTGTTCGTTAGTTTCGTAACGCCCTACTGCAAGCGAACTAGAACGTGATAGAAAAAAACAAAAACTAGAAAAAGTAATGTTTTATTGCAAAATAATCAGAGGGCGAAAATACCCAAACTAAAAAAATCAAGCTGTGTTTGTTTTAGTATGACTGGGGCTACATCAACAAAAAAGTAGGTAATTAATTAAAATGCATTTTAAATTTGCAATATATTTTCTGCATTGCCATCAGTGACCAGATAGACTGGTCAATCATATTTAAAATTTATCTAGTAATAAAGAGTGATTTAAATCAAAATAATATGATTGAAATCGATAAAATCGGATTTTATTGATTAAAAACGAAAATCATGATTTTTTTCCAACTTGTTTAGAGGAGAATTTTAACCGTGTATCGTCCTTGGGAAAAAAGAAAAATTTAAGCGGATCTAACTTGCATGAGTACTCGGACAGGGTAATGTCGTTATGTGTCTAGATGGGGTAATGCAAGACAACTGGCTAAAAAATTATCCTGTTTTTTTTTTTTTTTTTGAAGGAGATAGATGGGGAAAGTTGTGCTAATGTTTGTGAAGGTAATACATCCACATGTCCGAACCTGTAGTCGGACCGTCATAGTCTGTAGCGTTCTGTCGAAGCTAGTGGCGACACCTCATACATGTCGTCATGGCGAATGACGAAGATGTGCTTGTGAGAGTATGGCAGAGGGACGTGACTGAAATTCGCATTAACCTCTGAAAGTGGCAACTGCGCTGTAACACTCTTTCTATAGCACAGACTTATTGCCATGTAAACTCTAAAAAAATTCCCCCCTCCCCCCTTCAAAAAAAAAAAAAAATAAAAAATCACAGGGAAGCGAAACACGAAGCTAGAAACGTGAATATGATAGATGATTACAAAATGGATCACTTTCTTCTTGAGGCCGTTTTTTTTTTGTGTGTGTTTCGGTGTGCGTTTAGGTTAGTTTAATCGGGTCCGCTGGCTCACTGCCGGGTTCCCAGCGCGGTTCAATGCCCATGCTCGTGTCATCTGTTCGATAAGCTACGGCCTTCGTTCTTCGGTTTTGGTTAGCCAAGCTTGCCCGACGAGGCAGGGGTCATATTGTCCCACCTCGTGCTCATCTCTCTCCCTTCTCTCGCAGTCCAAGCGAGGCAAGAGCGACTCGACCAAGAGGCGCGCCCAGCGGGCCACCTCCAACGTCTTCGCCATGTTCGAGCAGAACCAGATCGCCGAGTTCAAAGAGGTGGGTGCTTGCCGGGGAAGGCAGCGCGCGGGCAGGGAGCGCCACGCGGCGCTCGGCTTTCCCGGGGCTCCAAATATGGGGCGGGGTACGGAGCGCGAACCTCGGCTGCTCCACCAGACCCGGCTTCGTTCGGTCGGGATTCCGACCCCGTGAGCTGCACTCTCCTCTCTCTCTCCCGGAGTCGCGCGCTCTCGCAAACGGGCGGCATGCTTTTTGGGGGGGATCTCGGCGCCCGCCCATTGAGACTTCCTCACCAAGTAAAACCATGGAGCGAATCTAGGGCCCTGATTGGCCTATTTGAACGTCCCGCTTTTTTGCGAGCGCGTTTAGTTGTTTCCTCGAGGAGTTAAGCCGTGGGGCGAACCCGGGGCCCCTTATTGGCCTCGTTCCAGAAATGCGCGCTCGCCAGCAACAAGAGACACACGCTGCGGCGACGGCTGTCTTTTGTGACTCCACACGTCGGTAGAGAGAGAGGAGGGGAGAAGGAAGGGGGGAGGGGAGGGGGGGGGGAGGGTTAAGGCTTGGGTAAACAAATGCTAGTATTAAGCAAACTTCCGAGGCATCATCTCTGAAGCGGCATCCGTGACGCGTTAAATACTACGAAAGACACTCTTTCATTTAGCAACGACATTCGTCGTTGCTAAATGAAAGAATATGGTTGTCTGTAAAGAGTCCTCCGCGTTTTTATTATTTCTATTCTAACTACTGTAAACGGCTTAATTTTTGCGAGGACCTAATTTCCGCGAATTTCGGGAATCGGCCACAATTCGCGAAAAATAGGTCCCGCGAACAATTCCGGTAAAATGTAAGCACATTGGAATCTCTATGGAGATCCCACCGCGTCGCGAAAATTAGAACCCGCGAATTATTCCAGAACTTCAGCTTTTACCTAAATCACGAAATATTGAGCCCGCGAAAAATGAATCCTTTTACAGCATTCATAATCACAATACGCTCGCCGATCCGTCTTATCTGAAACAACGACCGCGAACTGGTCAAGGTCGTCCCCTGCTCCCGAAAGAGCGGGACGTTCAAATAGGCCAGTCAGGGCCCCGGTCTGCTTTTCCATGGTTTTACAGACTGTCTTACACTTCGTCACCAGGGGGCGGAGGTTATATTGGTTATATTTATATAATTTGGGGTTTCCACACATTAAAAAAAAAAAAAAAATTAAAAAAATTTTTTTTTTGAACGTAGGTGTATTGCTTTTAAATTCCGAATGATATAAGTTGTGGCAGGCCTTACTCCATCAGGTTGTACCCACGATAGACAGGGCACGAATATCATGAAGCAGGCACGCAGCCGGGGGGGGGGGGGGGGGGGGGGGGCATGGGGCTCCGGGCCCTTTCCCGTATTCTTTCATTTTGCTGCGGCCTCCTCTCCCCCTCCCCCTCATAAAATTTTGTCATGGGCGCCCCCCCCCCCCCCCCCCCCTCCAAACCAAAATCCTGGCTACGTGCCTGTCATGAAGGAAGGTCCTATGTTAAAGGTATCGACACCTGGGCCTCTAAACTCGCCAAACACAGAAAACAAAGCCGACGCTCAATTAAAGCGCTCCGCGAACTTTCTGTTCCGACTTTGTGTTTGACGAGCTCAGCGCTCAGGAAGATCATAATCATCGGTCACCGTGGTGGCATCGCTTTATTACGCGACAAACATGTAAGAAAACGATCTCGTCGCGTTTCACTAGGCGGGCGAAACAACCATCGCTTTTGTCTCTAAAAAGTTTTAGTAGATTGTTCTGATACCTCCGATAACCAACCGGAAACAATACGATACATGCGCAAAGGCGTCGACGGAGTATCAGGTATGTTGAAACGCATGACTAAAACTCACTTTTCTTTCCTCACTTAAACGCTAACTCCCCAGGGCTCCGCTTTTGATCAAGGTGACAGCGAGAGCGTTCTCGGCTGCTTACTGGACATGGCGCCAAAGCCTGCGCGCAATCAACCAATGACACATTTTAGAGACATCCGCGAGCTCACAATCAGACAATATTTTGGCGAGAGCGCCTCACCAACATACAAATAGTGAGAGACCGCTTGCGATCTTTGATGTGCTTGTCCTTAGCACGCCTTCACCAATAGGTCGATGTCAGTTTGTGTACGACAGCAGAACAACTTGAGATTCGCAAAAGAAGCGCGAGCTGTTAATAGGGGGGGGGGGGGGGCCTTGAACGCGAAATAATGGACGATCCCAATTTCAGCCTGCGCCTGATCTCGCTTCGCTACAGCTCTCGGTTCGTTAACAGATTATAAACTTTTTTTTTTCCCGGTCTGTTAGCGATCGGCGTAGTTGTGTTTTCTCGTTTTATTTCCGCCTGATAAGGGACCTGCAACTCACAAGTTTTGAGCAGCGCCTCTGCCGAGAAAAATCTTAAATTTTTAAGTCGCGTTTTTGTTGTGAGCCACGTTACGTCCTTTAAAACGCTCAGTTAGCGCCCGTACACAGACGCTAAGTGATAATGACAGACGCTAGTTTTCACCCGTGGTTCGTGTATCATCGGACGCCAGGACCCCGTTTTACGTCAGCGGTGAATGGTGGCGTCTCGTGGACGATAGGGGAGATGCCTCTTTTGTGGTCGCGTCTCGTGCAGCTCTGGTCTCGTGGACGGTATACAGCGCCCCCTGACCGAGGGAAACAGGCTTATGACGCTCAGTAGCAGACGAACCGCGTCTATGAACGTGAAAGATCTCGCTTTCGCGGTGGAGAAAATCGGACTTTACTTCGCAGAAACAGGCTTTGGAAGGAGCGCTTCTCCTTGCGCCAGAAGGTGCGCTGCAGAGAAGCCCACCAAAGAGCTGGAGCGTTTTGCGCACTCAAATGAGCTCGATTCCGGGAGTTTTCATCTAATCTAGCGGGTAGGTGTCGCTGCTTCGACTGTAGCCTAATCTTCGATTCATTTAATCGGAGATTAGTTAATTGTCGAGACTAGGTGCTCCGGCTAGGTAGCGCTAGCAGCCACCCGATTTGGAGGGTTCAGCTCCATTCCTCCGCCCATTCACAAATATTTTAGAGCAGCTGGGCACCTTTCTCTTGGAGTACATGCTATTTTTCTATTGTTATCGAAACTGTTATGTATCTGCGTAGTTTTGGGCATGTTTCGCTGCATCCAAGAGCAATATCCGTTTTCCCTGTTGAGAAAATGTTTTTTGTGATCTGCGCAACAACCTCTCGGTGGTGTAATCATAATTTATCATCAGTGTAATGTAAAATGACGGGACAGAGGTAAATACGATGCAGCTAAGGTCAAATGTTCCGTATGGAGGCTGGAGAAGTTAGTTCATTTAAAATAAACGTCTGGCGCCTTTGCCATTGGTGGGTATTTTGGTCAGTACGAAGGGAAACATTAGATAATACTTCCCCAGTCTTTCCGGTTCCGTGTATAAACGGGCGTCGTCCCGGCATGCACTCATCTAGTCCCTACTGTATGACGCACATTGAAGATTCTAGGTTAGTCGTAAAACCGCTGTTAGCCACAAAAACTCTCTACAAAAAAAAAAAAAAAAAAAGAACGAGCAGGTTGGTTTTATTATTTCTTTAAATTATCCTAGACTGGGGCGAGAAAACTAAGAAGAATCAAAATGTTGAAGAGAAGGGCAAAGTTTGCCTTTCTCTTTCACGTGTTCATGCTTCATAGTTTTCTCGCCCCAGTCTCGGGTAATTTAAAGAAATGATAAAACTACACCAACTCGCCTGCGCTCTCAGTGTTATTTAGCGCACGTTGGATCATTTTGCTGCATCCACTGTTGCTTTGCTGCGTCATCGCATGTGTTGGCCCTCGGTTATTTCCGAAGAAGCTAGTGACGAGACACATAGAACCTTCCACTTGGGTTCTTGGCCCTGAGGGAGGTGAATTGCCGAGCAGAGTATCGCAAATTAATTTGCAGTTTTGAGCCGCAGTCGATTTAAAACTGGGATCACGTCGTTTCTATTTGCTGGAAATAAAGCGAAGATATCGACCGATTTCCTCGTTTCTCTTCGACGCTAACATTTCTTTCTTTTTTACTTTTTGTGCGCGCAGGCATTCCAAATGATTGACTCGAACAAGGACGGCTTTGTGGACAAGAATGACCTGCGAGCTACTTGGGACTCACTGGGTAAGTCAAAAGCTACAGCCACTTAGCTGGGCCGGTAATCGGTTGCACGTCGCTTTCAAACGAAGACTACGTGTGACGACTTTTCGGACACTTCGTGCTGGCATTATATAAGGAATGCGGGGTTTATAGCCTCGTATAACTTATCGGAGATTTTCCGCTCCTTTTGTATTTACGCTGCGTTACCCACTGCTTAATACACTGCTTAATACATCTGCGAACACTGTCTGAGGCCTGTCTCTTACATATGTTTGTCTTTTCAGACTTATGCTAGGTGGCGCAAGCTACCGCCCGTTACAAAGGGTATATATAGCCTTTAACATTCATCCATATATTCATAACTCGAATGGCGGTCCTCTAACATATGTCTTCCAAAAACGGTTCGCAGACATGTTCAATCCGACGCTTTAAACAAGCGTCGGATTGAGCCGCCATTGCTGACCTTCTCTTGTCTTACCGAGATGCCGTGCCACTGAAGCGGGCATTGACGAGCTTCCACAAAGGCCTATGTTGGGGATAAAGGATGCAGTATCACCTAGAGTGGCAATAATCATAGTGTGGCAATGATGAAGTGAAGCGAACGGAATGGGAGGAAACCAAAACTGAAGGTCGGTTATGGCGATGCTCATGCACAGATGCCTGAAAGTGTCTATATAAAACAAATATGCCTAGAAGATACTTGAGGCATGTCCGGAGATATTCAGTCATCGTGTCTGTACCATTACTTCGTCTTTTGTGCGATATACGAACAGTTTGACTGCGGTTTAACACAGCCGAATTACATACGTGCGTTCGTACTTGCGATGTGTCCAATATATCCTTTTTTTCGTTTCTGCTTTTGCACCCCCTCCCCTGGCCCTTTTTATGGCATTTAAGCTTTATAAGCGGGTTTGACATTAATCAACCCGGGAGCCTTTTAATTAGCTGTTCACGTCTGTGCCAACTAGGAACGTCGAAATTGGAGGGTCACCAACTACAAATGGACGAAGTTGTGCACTCACAGTATAGTGAATTATAGTCCCTGACAGCTGAAAGGGATACTGAAATCAAAAGAATAAAACATACATTTGAAGGTGCTCAGAAAGAACACGTGTCACCGAAAAACAATTCCACATGATAAAAAAAAAAAAAAAAAAAAACTGCATTCATGGAGTAAGACGCAATTCAGGTGGAAGCCATGGTCCGCTCTAAGCCCCTCGCACAGATCCGTGTCCCCGCCCATTGTTATTGGACTGACTTGGCTGATCGGCCCTGTCGAGACGTACAGTTCGACTAGTCTCGTGGAAGCATTTAAATACCCCAGGACCCGGCGTGACGTTATGGGCTTACGAATCTTACTCACATGGATCTGAGTTACACGGGCGGGTTCGTGTCACGTGGTAACACAAATTGAAAGACGCTGGACGCCGGTAGGTTTTCGAACGCCAAGGTAGAAAACCCTAACCATAGCCTCCTCTATACTCACAAAGCCTGGCAGTTCAACGACGAAGCCATAGAGTGCTTGGTCGCAGATTTGGAGCGCGACGATCTGTGGTAGCATAGAGCATCAAAGAGCAATTTCTCGTGGAACCTTGACGTCAGCTCGCAGCTTTTACAGCGGCGAGGTTAGAAACACACTTGTTCGCTCGAGAGAAGTGTGTTTTGGCGTCTCGCCGCAGCGGGGCGCCAGTCACGTGGCTCTCCTCTCATTCGTTGTCTGCCGCTCCACCTTTTCCATTTCGCAGGCCGCTTCTCGTGGCGATCGGCCAGGTTTTGTCAGTATATAGGAGGCTAAGCCCTAACCCTGGAGTAAGATCGAGTAACTTTTGGAACATGTCCAACGGCATGACATCATGCTCAGTGACGCCGGAAAAAGAACTCGGTCCCAGACTACCTTGCGCACCGACGCTGCTCTCGGCTTCTGCTCGCATGTAGCTCGGTTGGCTCGGTCGGCTACGTTACGCTTAGGCTACGTCAGCACCGTGCCTGAGGTCTGTTTCGTCTGCCCGCTGTCACGGCTATTGCTTTTGATATGTTCGGTGCTCCCAAAGAAGTTTTGATGCACATGTGATACAATTTGTAGCCGTTACGATATTTTTCGATCCCCTCCTCCTCGCTTTCAGGGTTTACCACTTTCTATAATCACCCCCTTTCCAGCTAAAACAAGGTTGCGAAATTTACACTTTCTCAATTGTTTACACTTTCTCAGTTTGTGTTTGTCCTTTGTCCCCTTGTTACTCTTCTTCAAGGATTATTATCGTGAAAACATCTAAACGTTTTGATGTTTCCTTTCTTTCCCAGTCTCAGGTTAATTCAACACGGTTAAGGATGAGTAGTTTGAAATTCGGTGATTTTAATTCACAAACGAGGAGTACGAGAGGCTAATTTTCGTCCGAATAGAGAAGACAGACTCAATAAACTTAGTGTTCTCAATTATGCAAGATGTGTTCCTCGATGTTGTGAGAGATAACGACATTAGAGCTCCCAAATTTATCGGAAAGATAACGGTTACTTTTTCATGTAATGGTCAATTACTTTTTTTTCTTCAAGTAATTAAGCAATCAAATTGAGTACTTTTCAAACACAAGTAACTGTAATTGTAATAACTTTTTTTTTAAAGTTCAGCGTGTACAAGAATGGCACTGTGGCACTGAGCTTTCACCATACTTTCCCACAACGAAGATTGTTTGTTTCCTCTTTCTCGGGACTAAATATGTTTTTACCGCCTTCATTGGCCGAGCTCCTTCCATAAATTGCAGCGATTGGCTCTTCCAGGTGCTTTGCTGGAAAGTGGACGCTCCAGATTTGTCAGGAGTGTGGTCATTGTGAACGCGTTGTAAAGGGAGACTGCGTATACGTTTAACTAAAGAAACAAACGCTTCGTGCAGACGAAGCGTTTGTTGCGTAACCCATCGTATGAAATGGAAATATCATGGCCAGCTTTCTGAGACACGCTGTTTTATTTCCTAGTTATCACGACACGTGGCGCATGAACCTCGCGCAAGATAAAGTGCCTTCATACATGTAGGCACCCTAGAGCAAGATACACGGAGAATTAAAATCGCGCAACCGCTATCTGAATCTTTACTAGGGGGAATACATTCCACTCCGCTCATTTGCATTAGACAGAACGCCTACAGTGCCAAATCTAGCCCTGACGGGGAGGAGGTCCGCGCCGTCTTCTTTTTTTTTTAATATTTTTTTTTCAAATAAGCTATCATCATTATCAGCCGAAAACATTTCACGACTACGCGCTATGCTACGCCGGCGGTCGGTGCGCCAGTGCAAGCCAGTGTCTCGAGGTGTGAAACAACGTCAAATGTGTTGCGTGGTGTTTTCGTTTGATACTTTTTTCGAAACGATGCACATGAGACATCGCGAGTTTCAGCAAAGATTAGTTTAGTTTAGGTTTCTGAATTTGGCTTTTAAAAATAAAAATCTCCCCAATTATGTGTATTTTGCCGTTTTGCGTTCAAGAGACAATCTGCTATTTTCTGTATTGCGTATGTTATTTCAGTGATGTGCGCCTCTAGTATGGTGTAGTTTTGGAATTCGTATTCTCTAAACGAGAAAACGCTATTGTTCTTTCTTTTAAGGCGCTACCGGGTTTTGGTCAGCAAAGCATTTTGTCTTTAGTCCTTAGTTTTTAGTCTTTATTTATTTGGCTCTGGAGAGCCGCAGCACCGCGGAAGGGCAGCAGCCCGTACCATGAAGGCCCGCGGTGCCGTGTCTAGTGAACATGATAATGTGATGAGTATATAGTATATACATGCATGATGACGACGACATAGATTGTTGGTATTGGAGAGGATGGCAGTCCGATTCGCAGAAGTCCAGATTTCGTGGAGGTGGGTTGAGCGGGTCAGCAGCGAGCCATGGGGATCTGGCACGCCGTTTGATCGGTGCATGAAGGAGCCCCAGGAACATGATGGCGCTGTTGCTCACTGGGGTCCACTGGGGTCGAAGCAACAGGCTCTAAGGAGGTAGCCCCGTCAAAGTATAAGCTGCCGCTTTCGAGGAACCAGGGCTCAGATTGAGGCACCGCCGTCGCCCGGTGTGTCATCCTCTCAACGTCGTCGTCGTCGTCGTGTTCTTTATTTATTCGCTTATATATGTATAAATAAAATAAGAAAGATAAAAAACACACAATCTAACAGCCAGCGGCGCGCCAATCTAGTTATATTTCTAGTTATTTCTAGTTATACACGCCTGAAAGAATTTTGTTCAGTTTGCGTTTGTAACCGAGCTAAAACTTTACGTACACGGGCAAATTCAAAGCAAAATATGTACAATGCAAGTGTTTCTGACCCTACATAACAATTGCTTATATTTGAAATCCAGGGCACAAATTTTGATTGTAAACATCTAATCATTATATAGTCATATTATAACCGCCACATTCTTAGTCAATATGCTGTCACAAACGCATCGAGCAAATCTTTTTTTTTCTTTCGATAAGCCTATGCAAAGGTAGCTTGGCCGCAAACTTCTTGGTGCACGGCAGAGTGCTAACTTTACAGGGACAAAAAGCGGGCCGAATTTGAAAGATTCGAGGAATAAAAAGTATTAATTAAAATACCGAAATTTTAACTGAGGTGTCTGCTATGAGTCGGCAGCTATTATATTCGTCGGGCACTTTACGATTCTTAATTTCAGTGAGAAAAACTTTAAAATGTTGTCAAAGTGGCCCATGGGACCCAATGCAACAATATTATATCGGGGGGCCCAGGAATAAAAAGTATACAATCCTGAGGTTCAAGTAAGCATTAAATAAGAGTGTATTAGAGACCTCTATAGATATACCGGGGAACTTAAGGATTTCTGCAGTAGTTTGGCTAAAATTATCATTTCACTGCGTTTTGCTAAGAGTAGCCAAAAGAGGGCGCAAGGAGACCGTGTCCAGGAATGCTGGGGATGCGCTTGTTTTATTTTACATGGCACATTTTCATGGAACGATTTCCTTCCAGGGAGGATCATCCCCGAGAACGACCTGGACGGCATGATCGCCGAGGCCACCGGCCCCATCAACTTCACCATGTTTCTCACCATCTTCGGAGAACGAGTGTCCGGTAAGACACTGCTCGTTGAGGCCAAACGTCAAATAGCCGCTCAAAAAGTCCGTTTTAAAAGAGTTCTTTGAAGGTTCATGAACCCCTTCCGAGGGTCCCTTACAATATCGCGTGCGCCGTCAGCCAGAAAAGCAGGAATTCGTGGCGCTTCTGTCAAAGCCTGCTTGTACTCCAACGTAGAGTCAGTGAGCGTCCATGCGCTCTTAGCTTGTCGGCCCCTTCGGCCGCACTGAACCAATCAGAGAGTCGAAGCGAAGCACGTGACGAAGCATCGTCGGAGTGCATTTTTATCCAATCTCACGGGGGTATCAAAGTAGAAAAGCGTACATGGCTTGAACGTGACATCAGCGCATTATGCTGGTGGTCAGGCGCAAGTTCGTCTGCCTCTTTTGCAGGGGTTGTGGTGAGTACAGAACGCCGAAGTCTGGTTGGCTCTGATGGAGGAATAGTGGGTAGATCTCAGTGCTAGCAGCCTTGAGATCCATTCACTGTCTTTTAATCAGAGCCAATCAGAGCATAGTTACCACAACCCCTGCAAAAGAGGCAAGCGAGCTTGCACTCCGCATAGAGTCACAATAAGAACAAGGTTTTTCGGAGCATTTCCTACCCTTTCCATTAACGCGAAAAGGCCTTCCTTCATCCGACGAGGCGCATCTTCTTTCATAAAATTTGACCAATGAAAATACTTAGTTGCGTGGATATTCTGAACGTTACTGTTATTGTTATTTTTAGGCGGGTTGTGCATTATATATATATATAAAAAAAGAGAGTCAAATTTTTAGGTGTAGGAAACGTAATACAGTAATTATTAGGGACTTTCAGCAAACCGTTACCGTGTTCCGCGTACCGCACTACCGGAGACTTTGGAGCATGCTTTTTTAAGCGCGCGGCTCGCGGTCACGGTATCTCCCGGGCGCGCGCTTAAAAGTATACTTCCCAAAGGCTCCCGTAGTGCGGTACGAGGAATACGGTAACGCTTTGATAAAAGTCTCTAATATTTGCAAACACCGTCCGACAGCGCTCTCCGGTGTCTGATACAAGGCGCACAAAGAGGAGCAAGTCAGGATCTTTGATCAAAATTATAATAGAGATGTCGGCCGCGTGTAATTTCTGGTTTGATTTTAGGGTACTTTATCAAGTCACCATAAACAGACGATCTCAGAATCCACTTGTGTGCCCCTTTAAATTCCCACAACTCCATAAATTGACGGGCTTCGCCCTACGAAATAAGGCAATTGGTAAATTTCAGTTTTCCAATTTTCGCTAAGAATAAATTATGTTATAAATTTAAAATCTGGAAAAAAAAAAATCAGCACACGTTTCGTACGCTTTTTTTTTTTTTTTGGGGGGGGGGGGGGGGGGTTCCCAAAAGCAAACACACAAAACCGTCGTAATTCATAGCAGGTGTCAAACTCATTTATGAGACGCTGAAGTCTCGACGACTTTCTGGTATGTTCGTAGAAGAGGTTTCGCTCCTTACGCGTCGAAGGGACGAATATGAAGCAGGGCCTTTAGTTGAAACAACTCCAGGAGTCAGCCACTGCCTTTTTAGTCACTGGTTTCGGTGAGCTTTGCTTACTGGTTTGCAAAATGCACACGGTATTTAACTTCATTTCAACAAATAAAAGACCAGTACTCACAGAACACGATGGAACGAGCAGTGTACACAAAGTCGCTTTCGTTTACGTATTTACTACCCACGCGAGTGGCTTTCGAGCTTGGATTGCCAGCTTCAGTCGAATGGGCCATACCTTCCTATGTTTCCTGTTGTTCGGATAATAATAAAGTATTACTCACTATCCACCGTGCCAGCTATTGTAGTGGGGTAAAGCGCTGAATATTACATTATCATTATCCGGAGCTTTAGTGCTGGGATATAAAAGAGCACACAAAACCGACCTGGAGCTTTGACACATCAGCACCAAAAGTGTTTGCTTAGCACGACAACACACCTGCAACGTCTTCGAAGTATATGATAAAATGTTATACCACGAATATTGCGACTAATGGAGGCGACAAAAGGATGAACAGCCAACTGAAAATAAAGATTTAATCGGCGAACTTATGCCAAACAAAATAAAGAGTGACTGTCGAGGCAGCAGAAAAGCGGGCGGCGATTTGGCGTCGTAACAACAAGCAAGAGCGAGACTGACTGGACAAGGTCACTGGCAGCTCCTTATTATAGTGTGGGTCGACATCGCGAAAATTCGGCCTAGAAGGTTCCAGCATCCAGCGTTCGGGGCGAGAATGAACAGGCACTTTCAAGAAAATGAAACTAGGAAGAAATTAGAAAAGTTACGTCCAGAGTAATAATGAAGACGACTCCTTCTAGAATTCCGTGACCGAGCGTTGTTTGCTCTGCCCAGCGCGCGGCAATATCACTCCACCAATAATCACAACGCGTGAAACAGGTTTTTCCCTGTACCCCGGACAACGCATAAATCCAGCGAATGGCCGAGGAATCAGCGCCATCCGCTCGGTCTCTCCTACCCGCTACGTCACAAGCGATGATGATGATAAGTAGAGAGGCGCCCCCTGTAACTTTGCTCGCTCTCCAAAGCGACGAACAGGCGCGTGCTGGGCTGTGAAGATCGCACGCTGGACTGTGATTCTGTAAACACTGAACGGTGGGGGCTCCGTTTCACACATGGTGTACGCGTGCTCACCAAACAGAAACGGAACATGCGAACTCTGTCTTTTTTTTCGTGGGAATTCTATCTTAGCGGCAGCCGAGCAACGGTTTTGTGGTGTCGCACCCAACAAACCATCCCGCGAAGTGTTACGTCAAGGAGCCTTTGTTCAGAGATAATATAGTAAGAATACAGGCGAGCTGGTGAATTTTAGCCATGTTAAATAAACCTAGCTGAGACTGGGACAGAAATGATCACCTAAGTCGATGGAACCGAAAAGAACAGGACGACGCGTCTCAAGTCCTGTCCTTCAGCTTCACCCAGGATAGCGCTGCCAAGAGAAAACACGCCATCCCCTCGTTCCTTGTATGTTTGGTGAGCCCTTTATCTTGCCTTGAAAGCATACTGACGCAAGCGCGTGTTTTTTTTTTTCTTCTTTTTTTCTAACGATTCGCTGTGCTCGGATTGACATGAGAGCTCTCATTTACATGCGTCTAACACATGCGTGTTACATGAGAGCACACGCTCTCATGTAAATGCGACATTAGATAAAGTCACGCGCTAGCGGTCCAAACCAGACGCCAAAGTTTCAGAACACCTACCGTTATTTTCTTCAAAAGGTATTAGTTATTTTTCAAAATTTTCAATGATAAAATGGAGGGGGGAGGGGGCATTCCCGGTAACCAAGCTATAAATAAAAATGTATTTTAGGGCTTTGTCGGCCTCCATTTTCCCATTGAAAAAAATTCCGAAAATCATTTATAACATGTGATTCGGATAACGGAAACCTGTGCAACTTTGGCAGCGGGTCTAGACCGCTAGCGCTACATTTGGGCTGAAACTGAGCGTTCGGCGATGTGTAGTTCACTTTTACGGCGAGAAAAACACTGCAGTTTTTTTTTTCGTGTGCGCCCGCACATTATGTGGCAGTTTTAGTAGATTGTTCCGATACCTACACCCGATAAGGGTACGACGCATGCTCAAGGGCGGCGGCGGCGTTGTATATCGGGTATCGTTATCGGGGTCATCGAAACGATCTATGCACCAATACGCGGCTGTGATGTCACGCCGCTGTGGTGGCGCTGTTGTCGCTACTGCGCATGCGCAGAAGGTTCCTTTCAGGCTAATCTGGTTTCTGCGCGCACGCAGTGCCCACACCTGTTGTGGGCAAACGCTGACCTGTTTGTGAACATTGTGCCCGTCTATACTGAAACTATCTATTTGTGGAACAGACTACTGTCGAGACCAGTTATAACGAAGTCAACGGGAATCGGAAATCATTTCGCTATATCCGCTATTTCGTTATAACCGACTTCGGTTATAACGAAGTGCAAAAGGGAATGGGAAATCGTAATCGCTTCGCTGTAACCGCTATTTCGTTATAATCGACTTCGTTATAACCGGTGTATATACAAACTCGGAAACCTCCACTGAAATTGAATGGTTCCTTTTTTATTTTTTAACCGACAAAAGGAGGAAAGACCGCCAATTTTCGCGTGTGTTTTTTCGCTGTTAACGACTTGCTCTTTGATTTCAGGAACGGATCCGGAAGACGTCATCAGGAATGCCTTCAAGACGTTCGACAAATCTGGAACTGGCAAAATTAGCCAAAAAGAGTAAGCTTAGTGAATTTTCGAACGCATTGGGGTCGCTTGACATAAACTATACGGAACCAAGGCGCATGCCGTGACTAGAACTATGGTCGGTGACAGGTTCAGAGTGTTAAGCGGAAGCTCCTCCCACATCTTTCCACTTGGGCAGAGCGAACACAGGAGAGGAGGCCGCCTCCTTCCTGGCGTTCGTTCTGCCAAAGTGGAAAAGGGTGGGGGGCTTCCTCTGAACTTTTAACTTGGCACCGACTATAGAGCTTTGTGACTTCTATCGCGTAATTCCCAAAAACCTAGGGAACAAAAAAAAACAAAACAAAGGGGGGGGGGGGGGGGGGGGGCGGTGACTTCCCTCTTCCTCCAAGCCCTCAAGGGCAGCCTTTACACATATATATATATATTAGAAAGAAGGGCATACGTGGGGCCATTCATTTTCGGGTAAAACCCCATATCTTTTCAATATTTACACCCAAAAATGTGGAGCTCTTAACAAGACTTCTTGAAAACGCGCATAACAAAAAGTAATGCCCCCCCCCCCCCCCCCCCCCCCAAAAAAAAAAAAAAATTCTCTATGGAGGAAAAAAAAGTTATATTGGTGAAGGCAGTTTAGATATGAGACCGCTACCTCAGACTACCGCATGCCTCGCTGACGTTGCTGAGTTTTGAAAGCGGAAGCTCTGATGTTGTTGAGAAAGCATGCTCTCAGTTAAGATATGTCTTAAAACTGGAGAAGTCTACTACCGGGACAGAAACCTGCGCATGCAGATGAATATGTATGTCAACAAAAATGTGCTGAAAATTGAAACGACCAAGATAGATCTCTTGCCACGTTCTAATCCGATTATCCGATCCGATTAAAAAACTGCAGTCATGTCAATCACCAGAAACCTTGAGCATAGTGTTCGACTATAACCTCTCCAAGGAACAAATACAGCGCGTATTTCTTGGACGGGAGCTTGGCGTTCAAGTGGACTCTGAGCTAGATTTCCACCAACATGTGTTACACATGGCCAATCGAGAATTTCGATGTCTTGGCGCGGCATCACGTCTAACAAGAAATTTTCGAAGCCCTGACTGCACTTGCTCTCTTTATCATTCGCTTGTCCCGCCAAATTTAGAGTTTGCATCTGTAATATTAAATTCTGTTTCTCTTAACATATGCCAATGTAATCGAAAAAGTTCAGCGGAAGTTTATTCGTATCATATACGATAGATAGATTGGTCGTCTCCGTTTTTATAGCTGGGCGGTTTCATTTGGATTCAGGCAACGAGGGGCAGTCGTATTTTTAATTTTTCTTCAAATTTTTATATTTCGTGGCGCATGTTCTAAGAAGAACAATCCTTTTTATTTCAATGTCCTGGTATGGTTTAATTTCTGAGAAAAAAAATCTCAAAGCGGGAAGGAACAACGTAGTTTTGACGATTATCGTGTGTGGCGTTTTTGAATCACTCTCAGTCTCAAAGTATTCAAAAGAGAGCATATATATTTACCATTTTATTTTCATTTATTTCTTTATTTCAGCCTGAAGAAGTCCCTGATGACCTGGGGAGACAAATTCCAAGAAGCTGAGGTGGGTATACGCCGTAAGACTGGTACTGGTACATGTATTACATCATACCGTAAATACGCATATACTTTACTTTCGAACATGAACGTCTAGTGTCCGGACGTAGAATCAATCTTGCACACGTTACTCTAAAAAGAAAAAAAGACACAAAAAGAAGTAAAGTAATCAAAATTCATATTTACTTTCGGATAAAAAGTATTAAATTAGATTACCCGAGAAGAAAAGTAGTTAGCCGCCACTTGAAAAAGAAACCACTACTTTCCCGATTATTACAGAGTTTTCTTCATGTTCAAAAACGAGTCTTTTGTACTGCTCGTTGTGAAATTAAAATCACCAAAATACAAACTAATTATCTTTATAATCTACCATTTTTGGTAAACCAACCTCCTGTTGGAGAGGTTGTTTGAGGATTCCTTAATAGGAAAATTATACCAACAAAGCGCCATAGAAAGGGGGAAAAATTGTAACGGTATAAGTCATTTGAGTACTTCCAAAAGTAATGAAGTTTCCCTCGTGATTACTTCCTAATAATTATAAATCTAATTCATTAAGTAATCGAGTACAAGTAATTTGATTACTTGTGATAGGGTGTTCTTCAAATCTGCCCAGAACCTTGCAGAGGAAAATCTTTCTCTCTGCTTTTTCCATTTTTTTTTTTTTTATATAAATATTGGTTCGAGCGTAAACGGTTTTGGTGCCTTCTCTTTCTGTTTGTTCTGGCCGAGCAGAGAGAGAAGACGACTTCTTTGTATCAACTTCGGGACCGAAGATAATCCACAATGGGGACAAAAGGGAAGTTTGGCGGAGCCGTGTATCTAGGTCACGGCGTCGCAATGTGGGCCAACTGGATGTAATTACCGACGTTTTGGGAGTCGAACGGGTGGAGGACGCCCTGTGAGCGAGTTGTTTTCTAGTCAATCTCGAAACCAGTAGCGCGTCCAGGTGGCAGCACGTATTTCGAGATAAGTGGGATAGGGTTGGCAAGCTACCTCTGTCAAGAACTTGCCTCACTGTCAGCGATCTTCGGCTTTATGAGTGTGTAACTGCTGAGAAGGCGATTGTTTGCTGCCCCGCCAGGGTTTGGACTTGTCGTGTGTTATGTTTTTCTCGGTGCATTAGATTGTGAGGTCCACGTTCCGCTCTTGGTGCGCGGCTTTATACGCTCTTCGTAAAAGAGTACACAATTGAATCGATTTTTATTTGAACAGATTCATTTTAAGAAGTCGTAAAAGGCATGTGCCGTCTGTGCAGGTGAGCTTTACGGCTAGGAGGACATATCATTGGGGGGGGGGGGGGGGGGCGGAATTGTTACGATAAGTCGAACATATAACTAGTTAATTGACTTTATTTAGTAAAAATGAACAGTTATAATTAGAAACTTGCTAAGCGTTAACTAAAAACATTAAATAAATTAATTTTAGAAAGATTTGAAGCACGTCGTAAGCCCATAGGGTTGTGCTAATTAAGCGTCGTGCAACAGGATCAACCCTGGCGGTCCGAAAGTGCGGATAACCCTTTAAAATGTTTCAAAAATAAATTAATATACTCGGTTAATTGACGCCCAGCAAGTTTATAATTGGAGCCATATATGTTTATTTTCACTAATTAAAAAAGTTAATCGACAAATGTTACTTAATTATTAGACTTGTCATGAGGATATTCGCCGCTATATTATTTGTAATAATATTTATTATGTTCTATCGTATTTGTATTGTTTAGTGTTCTACAAAAAAGTAAACACTGATCTTTTTTTTACGTGAAGAGTGGAGAGTTTGCAAGTAGAAGTTGGGCGTTATAGGCTGCAAAGCATGTGTTCTTTTGTCCTTCAATAGGCACAAAGTGCAGACTGTGCCCCTGAGGCTGCAGCCAATGTCGTTTTTCTAGTTTCGTTGTCTGGTTATAAGCAGGGGCTATTTCGACGTCCGATGACAAAATAATTACAAGCCGTAACTGAGTTAATCTAGCAAGGTTGAGTAATACGCAAAATTTTCTTATCCGCGACCTGGTTCCTGAAATTTTTCCGCCGTGTGAACACACCTTGGGAAATTCGAAGTATATACTTTCCCGCAAGGCACTTGGAAGGGGCCAATCACTTCAACTAGTTTATACTTCGAGAATGACTAAGCTGTAAATATGTATAGATATATAAAAAACAGTCTGCGCTGTGGCACTGATTATCAGGTTTTACGTGCTTACGACACACTCAGTGTAACCCACAGCATATTTGTTTCGAAGTATACACACATGTTTAGTTTTGGCATCCTATAAAAATGGCGGCGATCTGCTCTCCCAAGTGCTTCGCAGGGAAGTAGACGCAACATATTTCTAGGTATACAAAACGGAAAGCCCGTGGGCGCTGCCATCGCGCTGCAGCGATTGTATTCGCGAGCTCACGTGGGGGGACATTGGCCTTTTGACAGGTGGACGAGGTCCTGAAAGAAGCCCCCGTCGACCGGGACGGGAACATCGACATCGAGGGCTACGTGAAGCTCATCTGCGGCAACACCGACGACGAAGAATAAAGCGCCATTATTTTTTTGGCGGCCTGGAAGAACGCGCTTGAGCCTCTCTCGACAGCCCTGCATTGCGACCGCGAGGGGGAGCTCGGCACGTGGCCGCGGCCATGGCTGCGTTTCGTCCCGCGCTGCCCATTGCGTCATGCAATACCTTCTAGAAGGCTAGGCCTGCGTCTCCCCAACTTTCGTCGTCGTCGCTGGTGGTCCATGCAGCGTCGCCCGTAGCTCGCGTCAGCATAATCGCCAGCGAGTCTCGCATCGTCTCATAACGAACGCGACGCTAGAGCGTGCGACGCCGCGACGGACACGACTGCCGCCTTGTGGCGAGTCGAGCTTTAGCTTGTTTGCCGCTTGGGGCGGGTCGGGAATCCACGAACGATGACGTGATCCACAGGCCTTGCCTTTTCAGCGGTATTGCGTCGTGCCGCTTTGCTCAAAACATGATTGCGCACTTGCTGCGTCCCGAAATGGAGCCGTCTTGTTTCAATTTACCTGGGTTTCGAGGAAGAGAAATCTGCAACAGCTGGACAGTGTCCCCGCCCCCTGCTTTTGCGAACGTGTTGGACATAAAAGTAATACAAATCTTGCAAAATTAAGTTTTAAACGAGAAAAATGCACTTCGCTGAAGAGAGACAGTGCGGTACAGCACTGCCTGGGGTTTTTGTTTCGAGCTTACTAAACAAAGGTTTCAGATATCCGTCTGACCTTTTTGTCTTCAAACAACGTATTTACGTTGTTATACCTGTGTTTTTTTTACGTTTAGACAAAAAGAAAAAAAACATAGGAAGAAAAACTTTAGGGATGAGAAGTGAAAGAAAAGTAATTTAGCACCATGGCCGACTTGCCGGGGCTGGTATATCTGGCCGAGATTGAAGAGTGTAGCTTTCTTGACGGCTGGAGCCGGTTCTTTGGGGATCCCGACTTCTCCAGGCTACTGAGGGTGGCGTGGCGGACAGGGCTGGCCGTTCTCTCGAACACAAGCTGGACCGCTGTTCTCCGGTGTTGTTGTTGTTGTTTCCGAAATTATTTATTCGAAAGTGTTTAATTATTGTTGTGTGTATGTTTATACATCCGGAACTTAGTCAGCCTTAATGGGCATATAGTGTCTCAACTGTAGATGAGAAATTTGTCCAGTGTAGTACAACGGCTAGCCTGGGGCCTCTAAGACGTAGTAGTGACAGACGACCGCATTCCGGTACCACGGTGGAATCAACACATTTAGGTGATGCCACTCGCCGCTCCTCCCCCGGGGAGCGAGCGAACAGATCGTGTTCGGAGCTAGCCTCGAACTAGGAGTAGTTAGTTCCGCGCCGCCGCGGAGGGCGCTGCAATATGGGGTCCCTCCTTTGCGGCCCCGGTGTCGGCGGCGTAGTGTGCTCGACTTTTTCGCAGTGTGGTGGTGTGGTGGTGGTGTGTGGCCAGTGGCTGGCCTCGTGTCTTGCTTTAGTGCTGTGTCGATCACAGGTGCCACCATCGTGCACTAAGATGAGCCTTAACCCGAAGAAGAAGAAGCCATGCTATAAGGATGGGAAATAAGAGCTTCGTTCCCAACTGAAATTCGGGGTACCGGAACTGCGCAGAGCGAGTGCCCTTGTTTAAAGCTCCATCAAATGACGCTCGCCTGGGGTCGTGGTAGAAGAAACACGATTTTGGAGGGATCCCATACTTGGGCGCCATCTATACCCGTGAGACTGAAGCGCGCTCGGTGCCCGAACATAATGTGGCCGCCGCGTGTTACTTCCACCGTGACCGGTACGATGCTCCACCAGATTGAAACGGGCAAGGTGGAGATTGAACCCAAGATCTCTTGGTTATGCAGCGCAAGCTTTCGCTTCACGCGCTCCAAGCGGGTGTGCGCTAGCTCACTCGGTAACTGATACCTCCGAAAGTCTTTCCAAGCATAGATGTTTCCCAGAGAAACCTGAAAGTATTGTTCCTAAAAAAATTAGCCTTTCTGGGAACAATACCGAAAACTTGCCTTCGGGTTCCTTCTCCTCGAGCCGCTCCCCCCTTCTTCCTCCTCTTCTCCTTCGCTACCCTTCCGTGAATCTTCCAGTTTTTGTTTTCTTCTTCTTTGCAACGCTTTTCATCTACATCACTACAAACACATTTTTCTTCGCAAGGTCAATGTGAACGCCTTGTTCGTTTATAAGAATTCGAGAGAGTGGGCTGTGTTGTAATGAAGCCTGTGCAGCCCGTACTTCGTTCAGGGACGAGGCACCTTATACGCAGTAGTAGTGCGTTTCTTTAGTTTTATAGAAAAAGAAATGGGTGGACAAGCTGTTTCACAAACAAACGTGAAAGACCTACACCTGTGATAAAGTGAGCTACAGGAGGGGCAGTGGAGCTCAGCGAGCGCTCACGGCTGCCGCACATCCTGTCGACGGCACCATGAGGGCGCCACTAAAATATAGACTGTAATAGCGCATGCTTCGCATTTCACTTGCCATGCTACTGGCGTTGTCGTCGTCGTCGTCGTTTTTGCCGTAGTCGATTCGGTACTGCACTTCATTCGACAAAAGGAACAGAAAACACAAGGAAAGGTTCTGAACCGGAGCCAGTTCGCGCTGCCAAACCGCCAAGTCAAACATGGTCGCCGAAGGTCCTCGGAACGCTCGGATCCTCCAGGCCTTGCTACCGCAGCGCCGCCCTGTACATCCGGGACGTTTCCACGCTCGCCGCATCACAACAATGCATGGCGTGCGTCGGCGCCTGATCTGACTACCCCTCCTTTAGTTCACTGTAGCAGCGACTCTGACCCGACGAAAGAGATATGAAAGGCTCGTTCGCTTCCCACCGAACTCTAAATAAACGCCACGAAAACGCGGAGCATGCGCTCAATGGTGATGCGCGAGCAACGCACAACTTGCAACACGTAGCACACCTTTGCTTCAGTCTGATTGCGCCATTATTCATCATTAGCGCTACGGTGTACCAAGGGAACTCCGAGATAACGGGACAGCGATTTGTTCAAAGGACACGTTCAAAAACAGACGGCGTTCAAGGCCAAATGTCGTGCCGAAACCCCAAATGTTTTTCCGAATTAACCAAAGTACGTACCCTTACACCAAGAAAAACAACAACAATATTTTTTGTAAGCTTAACGGTTTTTGTAACAGTTGCTTTATTTAAACAAAATATCGCCACGTCACCCGCATACAATAAAATACTGACTTCAGTAGCTTGCAACTTAAACCCGCGAGTAAAGGCACTACGAACTTAAAGGGAAGCTGAAACATTTCTTGAAAAAAAAGAACCAATAGAAATTTAGTGAACACACAAGGCGAAAACAAGGCTATCTGGTCTCTAAAGGCCAGTCTAAAATAACCTCAAAAACGTCTTTCGAAAAAATACGGGAGAGGAGTGACGTCGCACGCTATACCCTGTGGGGCACCTGACGTAATGGGAGGTTTGGATTATAGTGTATGATTTAGACTTACTGGTTGGGTTCTGTCTCGTAAACATTCTGCAGTCCAGTCTCCAACAAGTGGATCTATTTGAAGATGTGATCATTTCAGCAGTAGGCGACTATGCGGAACTTTATCAAATGACTTGACAAAATCGATAAAGATGAAGTCAGTCTGGCAACCGGTATGAATGTTAAAAGTCAGTTAGGAATTATTAAAGCTGTGTATTACGTGAATAGTTTTGTTTGAAGCCGTGCTGATTTGGAAAAAGGAACTTGTTCTCATTGAGGTGTGAAATGACAGCTGTTGGGCAGGACAAGCCCGCCTTATACATATGTATGGGACAGGTCGAGAGCCGAGCTCGTAGCGTTAGTCAACTCTTTTTAATTACTTAGAATTTCATTAGGTATAGCTAGGTACCAGGTATGGGCGAAGTACTTGGGAAAATGTATCGAAATAAAAGCGCAAAATCATTAGACAAAAATGTATTTCATTACGATACCAATTACACTTTCAGAAAAAGTATTGATATACAATATACAAAATATCTTAAACTTAAATGTAACACCGGGCAAAAAAAGACCTTGCACAAATAAAGAATGAAGTCTAGACCTACAAGGAATCAAGTGCTTAAAAGAAAGTTGCAGCTCTGAAAGTAAAATGCGCTGTCATTAGATAGGCGGGTCTAACATCAGGAAAAACAACGCATTCATTTCGAGTTTATATTCCAAAGGGTAAATTGAAACAAAAAGCCTTTTTAGACATGTTGATAATGCTACTCGTTAAAAAATAATCAGAAAACCAAAAATCAATAAATGTATACATCACCCATCCTGTTCATGCTCAGTTCTTCTCTTTCTTTTGTTCTTCGACCTTTTGTGCGTGAAGCACAGCAAGTTTCATGCTTTTTGCATGAAATTTGCTGTGCTTCGCGAAGAGTGCCTAAAATCGGATTTGGTTTCGAAGTGCGGAGCCCAAAATGGTATTTGGGCAGTATTTAAAATATAAGTAGTTCCAATAATCTTTTGTATTTAAATACACTTGACAGATACATTTCCTCAGATGTAATTGACTACAAAATACAAAATACTCAAGGTATTTTAAATATCTATTTCAAATGCTTGTGTCTGAAATGGGTACAAATACCTGTATTTGAAATGCAGCCCTGCAAGGTAGGAGCCCCAATGCCGTTAGAAGGCAGCCAATCTCCGTGGAGTGGTTGTCCCTGCCTGTCCGTCTCTGCCCCATCACGTTCTCAAGCACAGACGTAAGGCGATCTCACGCAAACATCCGGCTGATCTCGTTGTCTGGAGGCTATGCTCCTTGTTATGGGCTTAAGCTGAGCAAGTTGGTTTATTGCTTGTGAATGGGGCCAGCTGAACATAAAAAAACACACAGAGAAAAAATACAATATTCGCACCGCTGGACTAGCAACATTTAATGATGCCTCTCTTTTTTTTTCTTTACACTAACTTAGATTTTTTAATTCTTTATACTTGATTTAGGTTTTCTTTTTCTTTACACTTAATTCGGAATTTCTTTTCCTTAAACGCATTGACCTTTTTGCTGTCGGAATGTTCTCATCCCTTTTCTTCTGTCTTCTTTAAGCGGTCTTCCTCTTCTTCTAC